AGAGTGAGGGGGGGATTTGATAGCAGCCTTCAACTTCCTGAAGGGAGGTTCCAAAGATGGAGAGAGGCTGTTCTCAGTAGTGACAGATGGCAGAACGAGGAGCAATGGTCTCAAGTTGTGGTGGGAGAAGTCCAGGTTGGATATTAGGAAAAACTATTTCACTAGGAGGGTGGTGAAGCACTGGTTCCCTAGGGAAGTAGTGGAGTCTCCATCCCTAGAGGGGTTTAAGTCTCAGCTTGACAAAGCCCTGGCTGGGTTGATTTAGTTGGGATTGGTCCTGCCTAGAGCAGGGGGCTGGACTTGATGACCTTCTGAGGTCTCTTCCAGTTCTATGATTCTATGACCCTCTTATGTTATGCTCCTATGATCCACCATGCCAAAGAGGCTTCTTCATTCTTCTTCAATTACCCTTTGCTTTATCTGTCTATCAGGGTGTAGATAAATCTATGTATTAAATATATTATTTCATATGACTTGACATTGTGCCTCTCCATATAACCGTGTAACTTTGTGTTAGAAGCTGAATCCATATAACCTTGTAACTTTGTTTTCTATTTAGAAAACTTGTAGAAAACTGAGTATATAGTTAAAGTGGTAAAAATGTCTTTTGGTAGGAGTAGAATAAGATCTTCCCCCCACTCTGTAATCAATTGCTCTGTTGAATGAATGAAGTGTGAATGAGTAAGACTTGGGAGCCAAGTACCTACAGACAGCTACAACAGTTTAAGAGGGGGTGGAAGCCAGCCCCGCTAAATGCAATCCCTCCTGGTGCCCTGCATGTGTACTGTGTAGACGCAGCCTTAGATGACATTTTTCATAGAATCATACACTATAATCATAGCACACTAGGGGAGGTCACACCACAAAGCTATTTCGGGATACCAGAGGTATCCCAAAATAGCTACCCCATGTCTGTTGAACACGTCTGCTATTGCAAAATGTAGCGGACACGCTATTTCGGCATCCTTGTAAACCTTGTTGCACGAGAGATAAGGGGTGTCTAGAAATGGTGTTTTATTTCAAAATGTGATGCTGTGTAGACACACCAAATTTTGAAATAGCTTATTTATAAAAAGAATTGAAATAGCGCAAATTGCATATCTTATTTTGCAGATGCACCCTTAAAACAGGAAGGGACCTCAAGAGGTCATCAAGTCCAGTCCCTTATCCTCACAGCAGGACCAAACACCATCTAGCTCATCCCTGACAGGTGTCTGTCTAACCTGCTATTAAATATCTTTAGTGCTGGAGATTCCACAACTGCTCTAGGTAATTTATTCCAGTGTTTAACCACCCTGACAGGTATGAAAAGACTGGGGTAGCTGGTGCATATTAGCAATTAGATTGTCCTAATGACACAGCACAGGGCCGGACATTTTTCACAACCCTGAGTGATGTAACGCTGAGCGTGTGTTTGTTTCCTCCCCTTTATCTTTCTTTTCCTTTCTGCTTCTTCCAACCCCTCTGCTCCAGTTCTTTACCTATGTGGTTCCTGCATACTTCTTCCCTTATCTTTCTCTTGCTCCTCCTCCCAGGCTCTCTGTTTACTTCACCTCATCTGTTCCTGAGTGTAATTGGTATCAGGTGGGACAGGAAGTTCCCATGATCAGGAAAACTATTTCTGATGCAGAGCAGGAGGAACGGAGAACAAAG